TCTGCCCCAGGCTTCCTGGAATCAGCGCTGATCAGTTTCAGCAGCAGCTGACTTGGGGAAGCTTGGGGTTCTTAAGTTGAATCTGTATGTAAGTCAGAACTGGCGGTCAGTTTCTGCAGCGGCTGAATCTGGACGCCAGTTCCGACTTACATACAGATTCAACTTAAGAACAAACCTACAGTCCCTATCTTGTACGAAACCCGGGGACTGCCTGTATGCAGTCAACTTGTTTAACTCTTTGCCAGAGTATTCTTTGAAGGCAAAGACTATAACAGGATTCAAAAAAGAACTAATTTAGTTCATGGAGATAGGTCCAACAATTTCTATTGGCCAGATGGACAGGGAAGAAAACCCACGGCTCACGAGCCACATGCGTCTCTTCCCCCTCAGGGTGTGGCTCACGAAGACCCCCCTGCACTCTCAAAAATGGCCCTCTCATCCCAGCTGCTTGTGCTGACTTGGGTGTGGCCATTAAAGATGGAAGATTAAAGATGGCATCAGGCATTGGGTCCTGAGGTGGCCAAAAAGCCTCTAAACGCATTTTCTTAAAGGGGCAGACCTTTTTTTTTTTTTTTTGCTTTTCCAAATGCGACCACGGAGTAACAGTTAATTTGAGGGAAGGGTTTTGGATCAGACTACCGCATCTACATATGACAAGTTAAATTGGGCGACCGGCATTTTACAATGGTGATAGGCCATGAATATGCTAATCAAGCGCGGGATATTTAAATCCCGCGCTTCATTAGCAGCTTCGGTATGCTTCATTTGCCTCCATAGTCTGAACTATGTAGACAGACCCACAGAGAACAAGGAATGATTGTACAGGCATAAAAGTGGGATCCAATAGAAGCATGACTTCAAATGTATCCACTTTCCTAGGGGACTTTGAAAGCCATGCAAAAGGGATAATCTTTTCTGAGATGAATTGGACTTCACACAGTTTTCTGCTGACTTCCAAGAATGGCATCCCCTCTTTCTTTTATGTTTGAGTTCAAGAACCTCCTCATGAGGGGCAGAACTATCAGACACTCTGTGAGATTTAAACATTTTGGGTGCATGTGTTATCCTTCCTCAGGCTTCCATGCAGGAGAATTGGCTGAGTCGTATAAAGCAGTGTTTCTCAACCTTTTTTTTTTTCTTTATAAAGTACCCCTTTTCAAAAAAAAAAAAAAATTATAAGTACCCCCAGTGCCTACAGTTTTCAAGCACACAAAAACTTTTTCTACCATTGCATCACATTTGTTTAAACAAAAGCAGGCGATGAAATTTTTGGGCGTAAAAAGTACAAAAATAATAAAATGCTATAAAACTTAAAAAAAAATCCGTTTTTTCCAAATTTCAGTTGTGTTAATGTACCCTCCAGACTTCTCTCAAGTACCCCTAAGGGTACTCGTGCCACTGGTTGAGAAACACTGGTATAAAGTACTGTACTATATTTGTCCTGTTGAGGTATACATATAAATCTATACTTAATTAATTTAATTGTCATGCTGAAGAAAAGTAATTATTCTAACAATATAGCACAAATAATTATTCTTTTCCTCTAATAACCATAGCCCCCCAAATACATCATAATCTTGACTAAAAACGCAGGACTCTCCTAACAGTTTTTTGCGAGTAGATTTTACTGCTTAGCTTGTAAGCTCTTTGGGGCAGGAACCATCTTTTTATCCTATCTCTTCACAACTCCAAGGACAACGGGGCTGTGGTCCATGACTAGGGCTCCTAGGTGCCATGGCAATGTAAGTAATACATAAATGTAGCTATACTGGCTGTTCTGGTAGGTCACTTAGGTTATGTCTACACAGCTTCTCTCTTCCGCAAAAGCCTATGCAAATAAAGCATGGATTAGCATATTGCTGCACTTCATTTGCATAATTAATTAGGAGCCGTTTTTGCACAAAAATCTCTTGTGCAAAAATGGATTAATTAATTATGCAAATGAAGCACGGCAATATGCTAATCCGTGCTTCATTTGCACAGGCTTTTGCAGAAGAGGGAAGCTGTGTAGTCGTAGCCTAAGTGTAAGAGCATCAAGAAGACTAACTGGTTACAAACACTCGTATCTTGGCTCTTAATAATTTGGTCTGAGATATTGACATTCAGTGTTAAATAAACTGCACTTGGCCCTGCACAAGCCCAGAATTAGGGAAGTGCAAATTATGTTAAAGCCACTTTTACCCTCTGCCTTCTTGAGCTCTGATTCTTATGCTAAACCTCTGAAGAGGCAGGATATACTTTCCTATTTTGTGAGGGGACTATGGGTTTCTTTCTTCCTTTTTTAAAAAAAAAAAGTCCTTTCCTTTCTATTCTTTCTGATTTTTTGCATGTCCAGTGCTATTTATCAGTTGTTGAGATGAATGTTCACATAGAGCTCTCCCCCCAGCAAAAGGGCCTATAACAACAAAACAACTTTCTCTGTAGGAACCATCTAAAAATACATTTACAATATAAAATTCTTACACTTCAGTGTAATTCACCCATTAACACTAGGCGCACTTACAATATATAGTTAGTTTTTTTGTTTGTTTTACAATATCAAATGCATTAAATATATTTAACATAAAACTTTCCAGGACATTTAACAATCACGTCCATTTCCACTATAACAGAAACTTCAGCCTTAGACTATATGATAATACATCATCACATGTGAAAAGATAAACTGTGTTCAGGAACAGGGAGAGAGATTTCACAGAGATTAAAATCACTAGCAGGAACAGTTCTGCTGCATAAGGGGTGGGTTGTCTGTGAGTCGCATGTTCTTTCCAGAACTGCCTCTGGATGGGTCAGACTCTATATTCTCTGACATCTTTTCACAGATTATATCCACTAGGCGCTCAAAGACCTGTCTCACATTGATGTTCTCTTTGGCACTGGTGTCAAAATAATCAAAACCTGTGAAGGAAGGGAAAAAATACATTAAAAAAATAAGTCTGATTATAGAAATCATGCTGGAAGTAAGTGTAGTGGTCTGTTTAACACCAACAACTTGTTTTGTATTCATTCGGTAGCCCAGAATCACCAGAAATATAGGACATCTGAATAGACTGAAGCGGTCATGATTCAGGAAGTCTAAGGGGAGAAGCTAACCTTTAACACTGCCATGGCAAAGAGCTTTCTAAGCAGTGCTGATAAGCAGATCCCTACAGCACTGCTCCCTGCTGATCAGAGAGCAGCAGGGTTGGATTTATGTAAAGTTACTGATGATTACAGGTTGCTTTTTTCCTCCCTAGAGTGCCACTGGCATCCTGCACCCATGAAGCAGTCAGCCATAACACCCCCCAGACCAACCTTCCTGCCCACTCAGATCAAATCAAGGAGCGTATTCCTTCTTAATTACAAATTTGAATTCTTGCATGATACTTCTGCATAATGCCTCAGACAAGAGCAGAAAGTCAATGCAGTCCCTACCATTCTTTTTCTTCCCATTCCCAGAAGTCTAAGAGACTAACAATTATTTACAAGAATTAGGTTACATTGGTTCTTGCTGCTCTTATATTATCTACAACAAGAAGTCAAACTACTACATAAATAATCTACATTGCAATAAATTACAATCCATGGTGATTTGTGTCAGGAGCTGCTTGTAACACTTCATGTCCCATTACTAAACCCCGGGAAAGAAAAGCCCATTTACTGACTAGTTTGCCATCATTCTGTCATTCCCAGTCTCATTTTTTCAATCTGTAAAATAACAAATATGTTTCTAAACGCTTTTATCACTTCAGAATAAATTTTAAAAGGTTCCTCAATTTTAACAGTGCTAATACTGACACTAAGCTATTTGCTGTAACTATGCAGCTTGATTCATTAGACAATTTGAAGAGGTCAACTTTTAAAATTGGTTCTTAGTGAAAATTATATAATCAACAAAAACCAAGAGATTTGAGATAAATAAATCTCTGCTGTCAAGGATACCTCAACTTGTTTGACATACAGACATTGCAGAGTGGATTCCTGAAAGGCACAGAGCAGAAAGACAAAGGTAATTTTAAGCCATTTTCATGGACTGTCCTGAAGCCTAGAATCCTCATAGCACTTGGGTGCTTCTGTGATGGGGGAATTTGCATACACATATTATACTCACAAGAGTTGAGTCTGAAGTTAGCTCAGGAGTCTGCAGTTGATATATTTCATCCAGAGTTATTCAAATATTTTCACAGATGTTGAAGGAAAATATTAATTGAATTTCTGCTTATTACTAAGTAAGGCACTGCTGTAATGGACCAGACCCCATTACATGTGGACCAGTATGCAGTTTTTGACTGTAGTTAGGACTGGATGTATACAGAGGAAAGTTCAAGGAATCACTTATGGCAGCGGTTCCCAACCTTTTTCATACCAGGAACTGGCAAACACATTCAAAAACTGTTGGTGGATCGGCACTGAATATTTGCATGTTCATTAGGGAAATTAATTCATTTGCATATTCAGTATGATAATTTTAAGAGGTCACATATTATTTTACATTGCATCTGTATGCACATGATACATGCAAAATAGTTCTGGTTTTCACTAGTTTTTGGAGAAGTATTTTTATAAGAATAGAGAGCCAAACATTTCTACTAGAATAGAAATATTCCTCCAGCTGGAATACTAAACAATTCACACCTAAGAGCTGCATGTGAAGATAAAGCAAGATAACGGTGCTTTGTTTGGTAAATCTTAGCTTCTCTTTGACTGGGTGATGAAGAGTTAATGATTTCTAAGTAATCAAGTTTGGGTAAAAGTTGTTCATGGGGATTCATATTAAGCAGCTTAAAACAGCACATTTGCTTCAATTTAACTTATGCATGAATTTATGCATGTTTCAGTATTTTTAAAATGGGAGGGAGGAGAACGGGATTGCAGGGGCAGCCATCCATCACATGGCGCTTGTCCCTGCTGGGTGGGGCAGCCACTTTCCACAGAGAGCTTAATCCCGCTGGTTGGGCTTAAGCTGCTCTCATGCAGTCCCGCCAGCGGGGTCGCATAGCGCTAGTAGGGACAACCTCACTGCAGTCCTGGCTCCAGCCACAGCACACCCATCTGCACCTTGCCACTCACCCTGCTGCTGCGTGGGGAAGTGGGCAGGAAGGGAATTCCCTGGGAACTCTCAGGGCAGGCTAAATACAAGCTGGGGGCATGGTCTGGAAATGGGCCATTGCCAGACAGACAGGTGTCTCAGCCTGCCTCTGGTCCGCACACCAGTGGTTGGGAATCGCTGACTTATGGCATAACTCACCCAACAAGGGAATTTTCGCCTAAATTCAGGCATGTCCTGATGCACCAAAGTTCATAATCTTAATATATTCATATTGTAGAATCAATAATTATTGTCCTAAAATATTAAAGGCCTGCTCCTACAAAATTCCCATTCATGATTGAAATCATAGGTAGTGCTAAGGATATAAGATGAGACTCAAATTGTGGGATAACTTGATTAAGCCTTGTCCACAATGAAAGGAAAGGTCACATTTATTGAGTTCCGTTTTTTAGCACCTGATTTTGAAAAGTTGAAGGTGCATGTTCCCACTGTGCACAGGAACTCAACAAAGTTTGAAGTAGTGCATTCCCAGTAGGGTGGCTACCATCAGCTTGAGTGTGATGCATTGTGGGTAACTATCCCACAGTTCCTGCATCCTTTTGCATTCTGAGTTTTGGTCCCAGTGCATGCTGGGACCAAAACTGTGCAGTGGGTGGTTCTGGGTATATGTCAACAGCGTCCTCCCCCACCTCCTGTTTGTAAGCAGTGGCAATCTTTTCATGCCCTTTTCCCCCGACTATCTATGCAGATGCCCTAGCAGCATAAGCATGAAATCCATCGGGGATCCTGTTGAGTATCAAACCATTATGGCAATCATATTAATCATAGTGAGCCTTATGCTAGAGCGTATCCAGTGTCTGCCAGAACAAGGAAGAATCTCAGGAGGCCAAGAACATAGTCTTGCAAAGCACTTGAATTGAGCGACTGGCAAATGCTGCTGGCACTTGATCCTCTGGACACAGTCGAATGCCGGTTCTGGTGCCATGAGACATACACAGACTGGTGGGACTACATAGTGATGCAGAGATGAAATGATCAGCATTGTCCGCAAAACTTTCACATGCATAAGGTCACTTTCATGGGCATTTGCAAATTGCTTTCCCCTACTTGGAGGCACAAGAATACCAGAATAAGACCTACTCTGACAGTGAAGAAGTGAATGGCAATTGCCCTGTAGAATCTTGCAGTGCGAGACAGCTACCCGTCAAATGGGAATCAATTCAAATTGGTGAAATCTATAGCAGGGTCAGTTGTGATCCAAATAGCCAAAACAATCAAAGGCCTTCTGCTACCCAGGGAACTGACTCTATAAAACAAGGAGGAAATAGTGAAGAGCTCAGTCCGCATCTGCTCCCTGTCACTCTGTGTGATTCAGTGAAGACTAGGGATGTAAAATTTCAATTATTTGGCTAATTGAATAGTTGATGCAATTTGCACCAACTCTTCAATTAGTCATTAAGTGCGCTTCTGCCTTTGAAGCATACCAACAGCCCTAGCCCTGTTGCTACACTTCAAAGGCGAAAGCGCTGAGGGGAGCATGGAGCCAGCAGGGACTCAAGCAGCCTCCCACTGACCCAGTGTTCCCTGTGGCGTTTCAAAGCGGCAGCCCATATGGAGCCAGGGGTCAGCAGAGACATTCCTCTGGTAACAGGGAGCTGCTGCATGAGGTACCAGAGGCGTGTCTTGGGAGGAATCCACAGGCTGGCTAGAGAAGCTGGTTGGGTCCTCTCCTAGGCTCACATGTAGCTGCTCATAGAAGTGGCATGTTTGTGGCGATGATCCAGACCATTCATTTGCCTCCTTTGTCTTCTGGTCCAATAGTCTCAGCTCCTTTATTTCCACTTGGCACTGCTGTGTGTCCCTGGTGAATCCTTTCTCTTCCATGCCCTTTGCAATCTTGGCATAGATCGCTGCATTCCTTTTGCTGGTTCTTAGTTCTGCAAGAACAGATTCCTCTTCCCACACAGCAATAAAATCCAAGATCTTCTGCATGTTTCATGTCTGTGACCCTGGGAACTTATGGTCAGGTTGGTTGCTCAGGTGTGCTGCCTGCTCTGAGGTCTGCTCACCATGCTGGCCATACAGGAAATGAAATTTTAAACACCTCCCAGAGACCAAGAACTTCGACTTCCACAGAGCTGTGTCTGCACTACTGTAAAGTTGACCGTGCAAGAGCGATTTTAGTGTTACTCCATGTGAAAAAAAGGAGTTCCGAAACAGACGTCCCTTAAAGCTGTTGGAATAGGTTTGATGGTGTGGGTTCTTTATTTAGAAATTCAACCTCATATGGTTAAGTTTGACCTAAACTCCTAGTTTAGACCAGGCCTAAGATAATCAATGCAGACTCCTCACCAGTGTTCGCTCTCAGCTGCAGGGCAGCACAGCTTCACCGGTGATTAATCAGCCCTGTCCAGTCAGAGGGTCAGGGCTCCATGCAGGGAGTTGACTGACTGGGCAGGGCTGATTAGTCACCTGTGAAGCTGTGCTGGATCTGGCCCCCAAGGCTGGGGGCTCCCCCCCCCAGCATTGGAAAGCCTGTGATGGTGCTCCATGGGACCAGAGCAAACAAAATCTACAGGCCTGGGCCCCCCAAGGCTCTGCTGTGTGAGAAGAATGTGGTGAGTGTCTTTCTCCTCCTCAGTTGGGGACTATGTCAGTGAGGGTTTGGGGGGGGGGGGGGTTGCTTTTCACTTGTGTGTGGCCCCCGACTGATTTTTCTGTGGGTTAGCAGCCTTGACCCAAAAAGGTTCCCCGTCCATGACATACATTATCTCAGATTATTTTATTCTATAAAGGATTAGAGAAACACGCATAGGCACAACCTTTACATGAAGCCATTAATATGAAAACAAATAGTTTAAGCAAGCAATAACCAATTAATCAAACAATTTTCCCCTCACAAAATAATTTCAGATAACACTGTACGTAATGCCACCATCAGCACTTAGAAAAGCTGCCTGATAAAACCTGAACTGTTTTAAAATAGACAATATTTCATACATTATGAGGTTTGAGCAAAGTAGAATTGACAGGAGCATCCAGAAGTATAATTAGCTTTTGCTTTCTTCTACCAGTGGGGATATATTTCTTCTTGGTGCATTTGACAAGGTCAGGAATAGGTCAAGAAATGCAAGTGCAGATTGTTCATTAAAGTAGTTTTGTATTGATGTAATCAGTTGGTATGGAGACAACATACATATTGTGTGTGAGAGGGAATGGACTTTTTTTTGGTGAAGAACTTCTTAGAAAAAATAATAGAAGATGGGATAGTGGCTCAAACAGAACTTGACGTTTGGTTATAATACAGTTAGGCATTATGATCCACATTTTCAATCACTGGAAGCTAAATTACTCTTGAAAAATATGCAAGCACACATGCAAATTCTGTAAAATATGCAGTTGTGAATGTAAGACAGGTATCTGTTTCGCAAAATGTTTGTTTTCAGGCCAAGCTGAATGCTTTAGTGTGAGAAAAGGACTATTTACATCTTTTGCAAACTAAACATGTTTATTTCATTAGCACTGTACTTAATAGGCCTTCTGTTTTTCAGTGTTTATTTTTTAGCAATTTTTGAGTTTTATGTGGATATCCAAATCAGAATTCAGGGTTCTCCTTTATTTTAAACTGTAATGTGTAAAATATAGTAAATATATTACTCATTACATTAGTATACACTGTAATGAGTAATCTATTTGTAATATTCCCTAGTGTGCTTTAATACAGGGCTGTTTCATACAACAAAGTGCACTAGGCAACTTTTTTTGAGCACCAGCAGGGTCTACAGGACCAATTAATGCTCAACATATTAGTGCATTTTCCTGCGTGTTCTTCCTTGTTGATTTCACATCCCTCTGTTGACTTTGTATGTAAAGGGACATCCATTGTGTTAGCTTGTTATGCTTAATTTACATCTCTCAACAGGTGAATATACAGGCAGTCCCCGGGTTACATGGATCTGACTTACATCGGATCCCTACTTACAAACGGGGTGAGGCAACCCCGCACTAGCTGCTTCCCCCCAGCAGACCAGGGAGACGCAAAGCTAGCGCTCCCCCCCCCCCTCCCCCAGCAGACCAGGAAGACACGGAGCGGCTTTTCTCAGCAGACACCTCAGCTTGAGAATAAAGGACTGAGGGAAGTGAGGTGTGGGAGAATAAAACTGAGCTCTGGAGAAATGTTTGGCTAGAGTTTCCCCTACAATATGTACCAGTTCCGACTTACATACAAATTCAACTTAAGAACAAACCTACAGTCCCTATCTTGTACGTAACCCGGGGACTGCCTGTACATTTCTTGTCCAACAAAAACTCTGTTTATCAGCCCTCCCTGAATACAGACTTTAAAACGTATTTTCATTATGCAGGGTAAACACATAACTCTTTATATAGTATCCGTACATACAATTCACTATGATAATAAAGTGTGACCGTGGCTTTAAGACCTCACATGACCTTCTTTGGTGAACATGAAGGTATATACAAGAACCAGGACACTCCTATAAACTGCTTACTAGCTGGCATTAAGGGTTACTTGGGTCACAGTAATTGTTGGATATTTTTACTCCACTTTAAAGAACAATTTATAATCTCTGATAAATTGCAAAAAGAAATCTGATGTAAAAGCAACTAAATCCTGAAAATGACACTATAGAACTCAGCATATAATATTAAAATAGGCCAGCATCATCTTTGCAGCACTGATGTTATTACAGTTAGAAGATTTTTTTCATATGCAAGTTAAAAGGAACACATTATAAAGGAAAAGCTTTAACATGTACCTAACTGATCAGCCAAATGTTTACCCTTTTCCAAAGAAATGATTCTTTCATCTTCCATGTCACATTTGTTTCCAACCAGGATGACTTGTGCATTATCCCAGGAATAGGTCTTGATCTGAGTGGCCCTATAGAAGAACAGAGAAAATAGATTCTGTATTGTCAGTAGTGCCAAAAGAGTGTTATAAGTTCATTTATAATGAAAATAAATACTTATAACATTAAACCCAATTCCAATTGTAGATCAGCTGTAGATTAAAAGGTAAATTACCAACCATATATGAGGCAGCAATGCAACATTTTAAAGTATATTAATTATGGTAGATTCAAGGGATCACAATATCTGGTACAATATATGATGAAAAACAACCCAGAACTGTATCACAAATTCAGTGCCTCTGCACAAATAAACTATGCTTAATTTGCCATTGCTGTTATTTTATTTTTATGCATGTTGTTGGAAAGGAAAATGCAATGGATGTAATATTTAGATTTTAGTAAAGTATTTGAAACTATTTCTCATGAATTCATACTTGAAAAACTGAATCATCTTAACTATAGCAGGAAAGCTGTCATCTGGACATCATTTGCTGGGGAAAAGTCAACATGGTTTCTGTAAAGGAAATCATGTCTCGTCAGTCTACTAGAATTCCTTGAGGGGGTCAACAAGCATGTGGACAAGGACATCTAGTGGATATATTGTACTTAGATTTCCAGAAAGCCTTTGACAAGATCCTTCACCAAAGGCTCTTAAGTCAAGTAAGCAGTCACTGAATAAAAGGGAAGATCCTCTCATGGATTGATAACTGATTAAAAAACAAGAAACAAAAGGCAGGAAAAATGGTCAGTTTTCAGAATGGAGGGAGGTATCTAGTGGTGTCCCACAGGGGTCTGTACTGGGACCGATCCTATTCAACATATTCATAAATGATCTGGAGAAAGGGGTAAACAGTGAGGTGGCAAAATTTGCAGATCATACTAAACTGCTTAAGATAGTTAAGTCCAAAGTAGACAGTGAAAAGCTTCAAAAGGATCTCATAAAGCTAGATGACTGTGCAACAAAATGGTAGATGAATTTTAATGTTGATAAATGTAAGGTAATGCAGATTGGAAAATATAATTCCAACTATACATATAAAATGATGACAACTAAATTAGCTGTTACCACTGAAGAGAGAGAGCTTGGAGTCGTTGTGAATAGTTCTCTGACATCATACACTCAATGTGCAGCAGTAATTAAAACAGACAACAGAATGTTAGGAATTATTTAAAAAGGGATAGAAAATAAGAGAATATCATATAGCCTTTATATAAATCCATGGTATACCCACATCTTGAATACTGCATGCAGATGTGTTTGCCTCATCTCAAAAAAGATATCATGGCACTGGAAAAAGTTCAGAAAAGGGCAACAAAAATTATTAGGGGCATGGAACAGGCGCCCTATGAGGAGAGATTAATAAGAATGGGACTTTTCATCTTTGAAAAGAGTGTACTAAGGGTATGACAGAAGTGTATAAAACCATGACGGATGTGGAGAAAGTAGATAAGGAAATTTATTTATTGCTCCCAGAAAACACAAGAACTATGAGTCACCGAATGAAATTAATAGGTTGTAGGTTTAAAACAAATGCAAGGAATGCTTCGTCAACCTGTGGAATTCTTTGCCAGAGGTTGTCGTGAAAGCTAGGACTTTAACAGAGTTCAGAAAAGAGCTAGATAAATTCGTAGAGGACAGGTCCATCAATGGCTATTAGCCAGGATGAGCAAGAATGGTGTCCCTAGCTTCTGTTTGTCAGAAGCTGGGAATGGGTGACAGAGGATGGATCAGTTGATGATTACCTGTTCTGTTAATTTTTTGGGGGCACCTAGCATTGGCCACTGTCAGAAGACAAGATATTGAACTAGATGGACCATTTGTCTGATCCAGTATGGTCATTCTTACATTCTTATGTTAAATGCTGGCTAGAAACCTCTACAAAAAGTAAAGATAAAAAAAAGTATCAAATTAGGGCAAAACACAGTTTAGTGAAAGATGAGCTCACATATATAGTTTGGCTAAGGAATGTCTAACAAAGCAATGAGCAGACACAACAACAGTCTGCAAGTATCTGAATACTGTTAACTACAAGGATTGAGGAATTGTTTAGTGTGATTCATGGGGGATCAACTATAGGAATAGGATAAATGTAGACTGAATATCCAAATTTAAAATGTCTAAAGCACCATATGGCTTTGTATGTGGTGGCATGGAAATGGAGTTTCTGAGGAGTCTAAAATGTTAGGTTTGATGACGCTTATACAATACTGCATATATGCTGAAATTGCTGAGATGTTAATATGAACTTAACTACTGAATTTCCATGGTTTTCAGAATGTTTGGAGGGTTGAAGAAAAACTCCTTCGTGTGAGTTATTTCAAGGAGCTCAATCTTTTTAGCTTGTGCAAAAGACAGCTGAGAGGTGCCTTCATGGGAGAGCCTAAGCGCCTTCCTGGAGAAAAAGAGGGCTCTTCTGAAATAGGAAGTTTTTTCCAAAATTTGGCCCAGTGTAGGCAGACCAAATTTCAGAAAAGCCTCTTCTGACAAAACTATCAGAAAAAGGTACGCAAATTGCACTCTGCAATTTGCGTACCTTTTTCTGATAAAAAGCGGCAATCTAGACATAGCCTGAGTGCATTGATGGAAAATGCACGTGCACAATCTTAGCTATAAGCTAACTAAGGCTACATCTACATTACAGTGGGGATTGATGCTCTGAGCTTGATCCACCAGTGGTCAATTTAGCAGATCAAGTGAAGTCCTGCCACATTGACCACAGATTGCTCAGCAGTTGACTCCTGAACTGTACTTCCAACAAGAAGAGTAAAGTTGTCAGCAGAGTTTCTTCCATCGACTCTCCTCGGTGCAGTCCCTATGGTAACTCAACCTAAGGTATGTCGACTCTAGCTAAGTTTTTCATGTAGCTGGAGTTGAATTACTTAGTCGACATTCTGAGTAGTGGGAACAAGTCTGAGTAGTGGGAACAAGACTAAGTCTATAGCTGCACTTACAATGGCGCAGCTGTGCTGCAGCAACTGCACCATAGTAAGGGGCACTGTGTAGCCACTCCTTATTACCAGGAGAGAGTTCTTCCAGCAACAACATAAAACCACCTACATTGAGGAGTGGTAGCTTCATCACCTGGAGCCACGAAGTGCTGTTTTTTCATACCCCTGAGTGACAAAAGTTTTAGTGACAAAAATGCCAGTGTAGACATAACCTAAGAGTTTCAGGTTGGAAGATGATGTTTAATGGCAGTCAAATTTTATGGATCAAATCTTAGCCTTAGACAACATGTGTATTGTCCCAAATCCCAAATCTAGGGGAGGGCAAAATTATGTTGAGTCTTTATCTTAACTCCCCAAATCAATGGATTTAACTCTTTGCAAACCCTCCACACACTGAGCTGCAGAGAAACTTGGCAATCCGGTTGGGGTAGGCACAGATAAATAACCATTACAATAAAAAAAATTAAGAGAAGGGAGTCCTTAAGTTTTATTTTTAAGGTTATATTCACCTGAAGAATTGTGATTTTCAAGAGAACTGAGCATCCAGCAGCTCCCACAGGATACAGAACAGGATACAGACTAAACAAAATAATTTTACTGCTTTTGACATGAGTCATTAGCCAATATTCAAGACCTTGGCAATTGTTTCCATTAGGAGGAGAAACTAAGGCAAAGTCAGGTGTTTCTTTGATGCATCCTGTTTATTTACAAAAAATGTACACAAAAGCTTTTGTTCCTGAACAAAGGAGAATCAATTAGCAGGAAATATTTTCTTTGCTCACAGTTTCAAGCCTCTTGTTAGCCAGCACTCTACCAAAAAGCTGTAGCTTGTTTTCAGGGTTACGCTACAAGTGCTTCTCTGATTGTCTCTGTGGTTTCCTCACAACCTTCCATGTACATTGTAGTGTTTCTCTTGCTTCTCTTTGGGTACATCGACACTGCTTTCTTAAATCAGGTTAGGTAACTTGCAGTTAGTTAACTAAGGATAACCTTGCAAAGATGGCATGGCAATTTGGCTCTCAACCTGGGTTAAGTATCAGAGGGGTAGCTGTGTTAGTCTGAATCTGCAAAAGCGGTGAGGAGTCCTGTGGCACCTTATAGACTAACCGAAGTGTTGGAGCATAAGCTTTCGTGGGCAAAGACCCACTTCATCAGATGCATGTAGTGGAAATTTCCAGAGGCAGGTAAAATATGCAGGCGAGAATCAGGCTAGAGATGACGAGGTGGATCCAATCAGGGAGGATGAGGCCCACTTCTAGTAGCTGATCTGGAGGTGTGAATACCAAGAGAGGAGAAGCTGCTTTTGTAGTCAGCTAGCCATTCACAGTCTTTGTTTAATCCTGAGCTGATTGTGTCAAACTTGAAGATGAACTGTAGCTCAGCAGTTGTGCTGTGTCTTCACTATTGTTACTCTGAGGCTATGTCTAGTCGGAAGAGATATTCTGCAAAAACGTCTTGCGCAAGAGCGCGTCCACACTGCAAAAGCGCATCGAAAAAGTGATGTGCTTTTGCAAAAGAGAGCATCTAAACTGCTTTCATATCCCCTACTCATAATTCCGGTCATCTGAAGAAGTGGGCTGTGCCCACGAAAGCTCATGATACCATCTACGTGTTTTGTTAGTCTATAAAGTCCTACCAGACCATTTGTTGTTTTTTTCTGTAACAGACTAACTCGGCTAACCCCTGAAGCTCTCAAACTGCATGGTCGCTCTTGAAAGTAAGCTCTGATTGCTATGCACAGAATGGCCACCAGAGTACCTGTGCTTTTTCCTCTTTCCTCTTTTTGCGCAAAAAACTCCTCTTCCCCAGCCACACACACTTTTTGCAAAAGAGCTCTTTCGCAAAAAGGCATTCTTCCTCACAGAATGAGGAATACCTACGCCGGAAAAACCCCTCAGTTCTTTCGATTTGTGTGTGCAAAACCTCACTGGAGGAAAAAACTCTGTAATGTAGACGTAGTCTCAGTTAGCTAGCACTAGGGTACCTAACCTGAATTAAGAACACAGAGTTTATCTGCAGAGTAGACATATCTTTAAATGCACACACACACACACACATACCTGCCACAAAAATACTGAGC